AAAAAAAAACATTATTTTCCACATACTGTACATTATTGTTTCTCCTCTATGCCCCGTCCTTTCTGAAACGCGTCGATTTTTACAAAGCTCATTGGTCTGAAGAGTGAGGTGTGCTCTGATTGGCCAGCTATCCAGTGCGTTGTGATTGGCCGAATACCTCAAGTGTGTGATGGAATGACCCCTTTAATATTTAATATTTCGCCCTGCCCTAGTGCACACTAAGACATTTGTGTTTCCTTTTCTCTTGTCAATGTCATACTGTCTTGTTCGCCTTAAGTATGAGTGTGTGTCCAGCGGCGATGTGAGTGTTAGAAAAACACGTCCAGTGATTATTGTAATATGCAGAGGGAGTCATGCAGAGGAAGGAAAAAAAAAGACGTCAGCCCAGCTGATCTGTAGCGTCCTGTTGAGGGACTGAAAGAGGCCAGTCTCTGCCACACTGCCGCCCTCAGCCGAGGAGAACAGCTCCTTTCTTCTGCCTCATTCCCTGCTGCTTACACAAACACATGCCATTCTCTCATCCGCACACACACTGTAGATGTTGTGCTCACAGCGAGCCGCTTTGAGCACCGTTGTTTGGTATCTGGGAATCGGGCAGGTGGGGATGGGATGCAACGAAAGCCAGCAGCTAATCGGCCTCGCATAGAGGTGCATCTCTCTCCTCCATTTACAATATGGCGGAATGGAGAACATGTTATGAAGTGAGGCTGCCTTGTTTGTTTCGCCATATGTCAGGTGGTGTTTGTGCAGTTATGGAAGTGTAATTTGGAGCGGAGGCCTTTCACGTTCCCAAAGGAGAACGCAAACTCCCCGCTCTTCATACCAACAGCAAACATATGTCACGGTCGTTGGAATTTGGGTTGCTTTGTAACATGTCGTGTGTCTGGGCTTGTGTTAATCCATGATAAATGGCATTCGATGACAGGGTCATGAGAACACGCATATGGCCTGTTAATTGCTTTGTGTTCATATTCGAAAACAAAATAACAGATGACTGCACACTACCAGCAAAACAGTACAGCAGACGTCCACATCATGAAATGTCTTGTTGACCTTGTTGTTTTCTGTTTGTGTTTGATTGTATAAATTAACATATAGCTAAATTTATTAGCTTAATATTCATGAATGCATAACTTTTAGATTCATTTATATACAGCCTTTTAATCAGCGGAAAAAGTCTGTTGGGATTGGTGATATTACCTAAAAAAAAACATTTAATGGGATCTTTTGGCATGCTGTTATAAATATACTAAGATTTTGTACATACTCATTTGTATTTTGCATACTATTTGGGATGGATAGTAATGGAATTGGGATATAGTGTGAGAAACCGAGCACATTCAAGCATCTTATGCTGTTTTCTGTTGTTTTTATATTTTTCAGGCCCTGCAGAAGTTGGCGAGTCAGTATTTAAAGAGGGACTGGCCTGGGATCAAACCAGATGACCGGAGGACAGACTACAGGTGAATAAAACGTCCTCTTTAACAAGTTTAGGGTGAAATCATAAGGATCTTGTTGTTTAATGACTGTTGTTTCCCTATGGGTGCTTTACAGTGATAGTTTGTGTTTCCTGAATCTTATAGCATAGCCATAATTATGTTTCAGAGTCGTCTAGTGATTAATTTCATTGCGATTCTACTGTAGAAAATAGAAATGTCAGTGTTTTTCTATAAATCTAAATCAACGTCTAAAGGGATAGTTCACCAGAAATTAAAGTTTTGTCATCATTTACTCACCCTCGTGGTGTTCCATACCTGTATGATTTTTTTCTTCTGCTGAACACAAAAGAAGATATTTTGAATTATGTTGGTAACCAAACAGTTGCTTGTACCTAATGACTTCCATATTACGAAAAAAAAAAACCTATGAAAGTCAATTGGTAACAGAAACTGTTTGGTTATCCACATTCTTCAAAATATTCAAAAGAAAGAAATTCATACAGGTTTGGAACAACTTGAGGGTGAGGAAATGTCGGCAATTTTTTCATTTTTGGATGAACTATACCTTTAAGAGAAATTGGGCCAAAAATTGTCAAACATTTTATGGCTACTGTAGGATTGCCATTTTATTTTTTTGATTGACAGTTTGCATGGTAATGAATATTTGGATAGCTGTTTGAAATGAACTACTTGAATTAAATCAAATGGCCGCCCCACTTCAGTGACTAGGAGCCAATCTATCGACTTTATTCAAATAGATGCTTTTCCTTAGGTAGGAAACATTTTATTTACCTTAAATAAGTTCATCATGATCATGACTGACCATGTGTGAAGCAAAGTTCCAGTTTTGAAGGACGACCTGTGAATAAATCGCCATCTGAATGCAGTGGAAGTTTTGTTGCGAAGGAACTATGCTAATGTTCTTTTTCTGTACATGCATGCAATCAGACACTGTCCGAATAGGGCTCCTGCTTTTGTTTGCATGGGAATAGCACTCCATAAATAGTGTTTGCAATCAGTAACCATGTTTTTCCTGCTGCAGGAATGTTTATGGAGTGTGGCGGGCTTATCTTGAAGGCACCGTGCAGGTGACCCAGTCTCGACTCAACGTCTGCGAGAACTACAAGAACGAGATTTCAGACCCCGCCAAAACCTTACGCCTCTACAAAGAACAGCAGCTGAAAAGGGTACCAACTTCGGTCCTGTGTCCTGTGCCCTGATCCATCATGTAATTCTTTAACATCCTCTCTCTCTGTCTCTCTCTCTCTCTGTCTCTCTCTCTCTCTCTCTCTCTCTCTCT